CCACGTGCTTCACCATCATTGCCAGGAGAGACAAGGCAGAGAGGCCATGTAGCCCCTGAGCGCTGCTACTTGGGACCCCCAAAGAAGGAAAACAAAACTGGAAAGGAAATTTCACTCAATTCAGCATCCCATGTAGTATACCTTTTCAGGTGGCTGTTCATTTGTTCATCTGGGGTGGCCATGTGCTTTGATGAATAGAGCTCTGTGGTATTCATGCCTGAATTCTTCGTTTGAAATTGCTGTTTTGTTTTCTTTTGTTTGGGGGCTGTATCCAGAGGTGCTTAGGGTGTGCTCTGTGCTCTGTGCTCAGGGATCACTTCTGGTGGTGCTAGGCCAAGCACCTTAACCCTGTACTCTATCTCTCTCTGGTCCTTTGATCTGTATTTTTATCTTGGGTAGATGCCCAGGCTTGCAACTGCTGGCTCCCATGGTGACTTTCAGTTGAACTTTTCAAGGAACAATTTCACTGATTTCCAGAGCACTGTGGAGGGCTCTACTTTCTTTCAGCCTCTTCCATACTTGTGTGTTTTAGTTAGGAGGGAGTGCTGAAGATCGGGAAAGAAATGCAGATGGCTGAGTGTTAAGATAACCCCTCTTCAGGCTACATGTTTGGCCTGGAGCTCCGGTACTAAGAGGGCATCTACTCCATAGCTGAATGGACGAAAAGGAAAGTCCTTCTGCTCTAGGGTTTCACAAAGGACACACCCAGATGGGAGACTCATCAGCCCTCTGGAATAAAGGTCAGTGGGGATTCTGATTCTCCCCTAAGAGTAAAGCTTAGGTAATGAGTCAAGTTTACTCCTGGCTTTGCCCTCAGGAATTGCTCCTGGTGGTACTTAGGGGACCCTATGGAATGCCAGGGATCAAACCCAGGTTGGCCGAGTACAAGACAAATACTCCACCCACTGTACTATTGCTCCAGCCCCAGTCATGAGTCAAGTTTCCATTCCCTGGCTGGTCTTCAGCCTTCTCCCTACAGTTCAACACTGGTTCTCACAATCTCTCTACCTACCATTTTCTGTAGCATTGCACTGTCCTCCCGTTGTTCTTCAACGTACTGGAGCGGGCACCACTAACGTCTCACAACAAATTGTGAGACTTGTTGTTACTGTTTTTGGCATATCAAATATGTCACGGGGAGCTTGCCAGGCTTTGCCCTGCGGGCAAGATAGTCTTGGTAGCTTGCCGGGCTCTTCGAGAGGGGCGGAGGAGTCGAACCCAGGTCGACTGCGTGCAGGGCAAACGCCCTACCCACTGTGCTATCGCTCCAGCCCTACCATTTTCATGTTCAGAAAAGAACTTTAAGATGTTTCAAAGCACTTTAAATTAAACCACCATAACAACTAAACCTAAGGGGAAGGGACAGATTATTTTTGGCAGTTTGGAGATGGCTGATTGTGGTTCTGAGATAGTTGGACTGACTACAGAAAGTGGCTTGGTAGATGCCACAGGGAAGTCTTTAGATTTCTAACTTTATTTTGGGTTTTGGGCCAAACCTGGTGGTGTTCAAGGCTTACTCCTGGCTTTGAGCTCAGAAATAACTCCTGGCTCAGTGAGAGGTGGTGAATTTATTGGTGTGTGTGTGTGTGTGTGTGTGTGTGTGTGTGTGTGTGTATGCTGGGGACCTCTTGACCTGGGTTGGCTGCTTGCAAGTCAAGCGTCCTATCCACTGTACTATCCTTCCAGCCCTGACTTCTAACTTTAGCTCGTGACTTTATCTTTCAAGTAGAACAGTAGCTAACATTTACAAGGCTGGGAAACTTGGGGAGTTTCAAAGAGAATTGCCTGTCACAGAGATTAAACTCTCTGAGAAAGAGCAAACTGAACTATTCTTTCGTCTTTAATTTTGGGCCATACTCCGTGGTACTCAGGGCTTACTCCTGGCTCTGCACTCAGAGATCAATCCTGGCGGGTTTGGGGACCCTATGTGGTGCCAGAGATCAAACTAGGGTCAGCTACATGCAAGGCAAATGCCTTACCTGCTGTACTATTTCTCTGGCTCCAGAAATGATTATTTTCTGATGAGAGGCAGCTCTAAATGTCATCCTTTTATGACAGCAATTCTCAAACACACATGAAATACAAAGAAAATAGCATCATAAACCGCAGCACCCTTACTTTAAAAGTGATCAGTTGTACTCAGCTATAAGAAAAGAAGAAATCACGCAATTTGGTGCTACAGGGAATGCTTTAGAGAGAATCATACCAGGTGAAATTAGCCAGAAGTGAAATTAGCCAAGAAGAAGACAGGCACAGAACAATTGCCCTCAAATGTAGGATAAAAAGAAAGTGAGGAAGTAACAAATGCCCAAAGGCAACAGAAACTGAGAACTGACCTTTAGTAGGAAGCTTATCACTGTAGGAGGGGATGGGGGTTGGGAATACGAACGGGGATGGGGGGTGGGGGGGTGTCCGTAGAGGACATTAGGACAACGATGGAAGGGAGCAGACAGCAGAATGTTTTATGCATGAAATCCTACCATTATCAGTTTTGTGAACCATGGTGTCTAAAATTAAATTAAAAGGTTATTAAAAAAAAAAAAGTCAGTTGGGGCCAGAAAGCTACTACAGTGGGGAGGTGTTTGCCTTGCCCATGGCTGACCTGGGTTCCATTCCCAGCATCACATATGGTCCCCCTGGCGAGAGTGATCCCTGAACATGTTTGCCACTCAATGCCTCTTTTGCAGACCACAACACCCAAAAGGAGAGAGAGAACACAGGGGATTGCCCTGCCACAGAGACAGGGGGGATGGGGGGATGGGGGTGGGGGGGATACTATCCATGGTGGTGGAAAATGGGCACTGGTGGAGGGATGGGTATTTGATCATTGTATAATCGAAACCCAAGCACAAAAAATTGTAAATCTACAACTATACCTCATGGTGTTTCACTAATAAAAAAAAAAAAAAGAGTAATCCCTGAGCTCAGAGCCAGGAGTAAACCCTGAACACTGCCAGGTGTAGCTACCAAACTAATAAATAACTACATAAATACATACAATGATCAGTTTTGTCCTTGGACTGTGGACATAAGTGTTTCAGTATAGCAAGACTTCGATAACTTTCCTCCAGCTTCACTGAGGTAAAACTGACAATAAAAATGAAGTACATTTAAGATGACCAGCCGGTGAGAGATGTCTGTGCAGTGAAATATTTAGCACAATGGGTGTCAGTAAGGTTACACCTTAATCATTTTATTTTCTTATGCAGAGAACACTAAGAATGACTCAGCACATTTCAAGTACACCTACAATGAACACCCCGGGCACAGGCCGCCCACAGATTCTCCACCTAACCATCTCACAGAGGCGAAAAGATAGTACCTGTAATATTATTTAGGCAAAGACCTGTGGGAAACGGTTAAAGAGTGACTAGATGATCTTGTTCGAGGCCACATTCATGAGGGCTGAAGGGTGGAGAAGTCACTCAGCTGGTCACACAAATAACTTGTTTCTTTAAGGAAGGGGGAGATGTGCTGTCATGGTTAGGGACAAGTCTTAAGGGGCTCACCGCCAGCCCCCTGAAACCCAGAGCCTCACATACATAAGGTAAGTGCTCTAGGCTCCTCACCCAGAATGAGTAAGACTCCGGAGTGGCAGCCCACGTTTTGGTTCATTCAGGTTTATTCAGTCTCATCCCTCCATTCCACTTGTTGGGGCAGCTCTCATAAACACTGGCCAGCGAGGCAGCTGACTCTGGATTAAGATTTGAATTCAAATCCAGTTTTCTTTTATTTGAGGGTGGGGGTGGGGCATGCCCAGCTGTGCTCCTGGCCCATTCCCGGCTGGGTTTGCACTCAGGATCAGTCCTGGCGGGGTGCCGAGGGCCATATGGACCGCGGACCTGTATCGAACCCGGATCCAGCCAGCGCCCTGACTGCTGTACTATCGCTCGGGCTCCAGTTCCAGCTTTTCCTGACACCGAAACCTTGCAAAAAAGTTTCTTTTTGCAGATCTCAACGGATCTGCAAAAAAACTGGGGTAACAGTGACTCTCTGAATGGGGGGCGCGGTCAGAGTTAAAAGACCTGGCGCTCCCCCCCCCCCACACACACCTCCCGGTGCGCAAGATCAGCCGGTGTTGGATCCAGTTTGTCCCGTTCACGGGAGGTCGGTTCTCTTGAGGTCCCAATGAAAGTGTTCCCAAAGGCCGTTTCTCGCCAGTCCCTCTACTCCGAAGATTCCTCCCCAAACCTCACGGAGGTACCCCCCCCCCCCCACCACGCCACAGGCGAGGATCCCTCCTCTTCCACGGAAGGAATCTGTCTTGCAAAAAGGAAAAAAAAATGATGTGAGTCCTTCGCATCTAAGGGTCCCTCGAACCGTCCCGCAGCGTGCCTAGGCGAGACGGGCCAGGCCCGGCCGGCCTTGGGCCGAGGTCGGGCGCTGGGGCCCGCAGGTTGCGCGGAGCCTCCCCCGCCGCCCGCGCAGCCTTCTTTGGTCCTGATGCGGGCAGCGCGCCCAGGGGGCGGGCAGCTGCTCTCGCGCGGCGCCTCCGGAGGCCGCCGCCCAGGGGGCGTTGCCCAGCCGCGGGGGCGGGGAGAGCCGGGGCCTCCTCCCTCCATTTTAGGGGTGGGTGCCGGGGCCCCGATCGCCCACTTGGGCCAAGTTTGCAGCCAGGTGCGCGCACGTGGGCGCCTCGGCGACCGGTCCCTGGCCACGTGGTTGCGCCCTCCCGGCCCTCCCCACTTCCACCGCCCTCATCAACGGCACCGGTCGCCTCGCACCTGTCGGGCCCCCACGCCCCGCAGCCCCTCGGCGCCCCCACGCTGCTCGCCAGCTCCCGGGCTCCCGGCTCCCCCGCGGTCCCGGCGGCGGGCACCCCCCGGGGGGAGGCGGGGACAGGGCGGGCCGCCGGCCGCTCGGCTCCCGGAAGCGGGTGTTGGTTCTCGGGCTCCCGCCAAGCGGCCCCGCGCGGCGGCCGGAGCTGCAGCATCTCCCCGGCCCGGCGCCGGCGCAGCGGCGGCAGCGGCAGCGGCAGCAGCAGAAGCAGCAGTGGGAGCGGCAGCAGCCCCGCGCCAACATGCAGCCGGTGTATTCGGAGGTGAAACCCAACCCGCTGCGGGACGCGAACCTCTGCTCGCGCGTGTTCTTCTGGTGAGCGGGGCCGGGGTGGCCGCGCGGGGGTGGCCGAGCCGGGGGTGGCGGCTGCTGTACCGCTGCTCGCGGGGCGCGCGTGCGGAGCGCGCGCCGTGGCGGCCGGGATGGGGGTTGGGGTGGGGAACGGCGGGGACGCGGCGTGTCCCTTACCTGCCGGCTGCCCCTCCGGGCGTGCGCGGCCCGAGGGCAGCGGCCGGCGCGGGAGGACGCCCTGGAGGACGCCCCCGAGCGCGCCCCCCGGAGCGCGCCTCCAGGCTTGGCACGCGCGCCCGTGCCCGCGGCGCCGGCAGCTGATGGGAAGCCGCTGCCCGCCCCTCTCCTCTCTCTCTGTCTTTCTCTCTCTCTCTCTCGCTCTTCGTGCCGGAGCGGCGGTTCTCCCCTGGAGCCCCTCTAGCCTGGGGCCCCGAGGAGCGTCCCGTATCCGGGCGGCGTCCAGTCGTGACCCCACCTCTTCCGATAACCGCGCCGGCGACATCTGCGGGCCGGGGCGCCCACCGCGCGCGCGACCTCGCCGCGCCTCGGGGCCGGGCACACTCACCTGTGGCGTCTCCTTTCGGGGGTGGGGGGTGGGGGTGGGGAGAAACCCGCTTGCCTCCGGTTTGTGATGAATGGGAGCACCCCCCACCCTCACCTGACCCCGAGCCTTTTTTTCTTTTTTCCCTTTTTCTTGGCTGGGGCGCACCGAGGTCTGGTTCTGCTTGGAACCGGCCCCTCTCCCTAAGTTCTGCCTAACCGGTCCTCATTTCTACTCCCCCCCCCCAAGGAATGGGGTCCGTACAGCTGTTGAGGGGCAGGGGGTGTCCCCTCAAAGTCGCCGGCCTACGGAGAAGGTGGTTTGTAAGGTGCCAGAAAGTCCTGCTGGGGAAGTTTCTGGTCCTGGAAACGGTTTGCAGGCTCCTGGGCTGGGACGGAGGTCGGGCTCTGAGAGGTCGTGGGCACCCGAGTTTTCTGGCGAAGTATCTGGACGCTGGAACCTTGGGGCACTCACCCAGTTTCATGATTAGATTTATTTATTTTTTTTGGCTTCCCAGCCGGGTAGTCTGAAGCTGCCCGCGCCCCTTTTGATTGCACGGGAAGGCAGGGAGGGATCCCCAGGGGCCCCCAGCCTTGTTTTCATCGCGCTGTTCTCGGTCTGTGCCGGAACCCGAGGTTTGGTGGCCCTTTGCAGCGAGGGGCGGGGCGGGAGGAGGACGGGTGTGGCCACGGCCGAGGCCCGAAAAGCCGCGGGGGAACTTCTTGCCTTTCGGCCGGCCGTGCGCCTTGACCGCGCTCGCCCCGGGAGAGGGAAGGCTGGGGACCTTTTCTGGGTGACTGGGAGGGACATGCATTCGCCTAGCTGGAGTTGAAGGCTCACTCATCTCTGACACCCGAGGGCACCCAGAGCCCAGAGGAGTTGAGGAGCTTGCCTGAGATCCCACAGCCTCTAAGGAGGTAGATAGAACCGGACCCCAAAGGCGTAGGGAGCAGCTGTGATGGGAATCCTTGCTTAAAACGCTTTATGCCACATCTGCACACTGGACTGCACGCCCAGTTCTGCCTAGCAAGCCGCTCTGTAGATTGGGGTGGGGGGTGTGTGTGAGGGGGGACGGGGCAACAGCACTCCAGGTTATTCTGGTGGGAGGCAAAGGCTGGCACTACCCTGCTCGGAGCCCCTCAAAACGAGGAGTGCCAGAGAGAATACAGTGGGCACCGTGCTTGCCAGGCACATAGCCCACCATGGTTTGATCCCTGCCACTGGGACCACCTGTGTCTCCCAAGCACCATCAGGAGTGACCACCAAGCACAGAGGCAGGAGTCAGCCCTAAGCACCGCTGGGTGTGGGTCGCCTCCCCCCAGAATCAAATTTGTGGGTTGGGAATTTTCAGTTTTTAGGTGGAATTTGAATTTATTTGAATGGTCACTTTTTTTTGGCCCCCCACCCCCTCTCCATTTATTCTTCTGAAAGAGCTTGTAACTGTTCTCAGCTGGTGTCCTCAGTCCTCTGTCTGGGTTTCAGGTTTCCTCTGGAGATGTTTTCCTGCACACCTTGCTAGTCCTGTGGAACTTTACTTTGTGACTGCTCCTAGTTGCTAGTTGCTTTTGAAACAAACCTTTTTTAAAAAAAAAATATACAAACAAGATCATGTAAATCTCTAGTCATTTTCCTTTTAGCTCTTTGTTTCCTTTATTAAACAGTCTTAGGCAACTAGAATTTCTTTTACTATCTGCTGTAAGACAGACAGGCCCCATTTTTTCCCCCAAAGAGCCCTCGTTCCTGTTCGTTTTATTGACTTCATTCTCGTCTCCTCACTCACGGGAAATGTCATGGTTTTTCTTTGGGGAGGGTGTACATACGTGATATACTAGGGATCCCTCCCCGCAGAGTTTGGGGGACACATGGGTATTGAACCCAGGTCAGCTGTGTACAAGTGCCCTTTACCTGCTCTACAGCTCTCCAGCCCTTTTAGATTATGAATTGTGTCCAGGGGGCCCCAGATTGTCCACTCCCTCGAGGGACTCTGTAGGCGACCCCACTCTGCAGCCCTCCCCCCACCCCCCTTATTTCCTCTGCCCTGCTCCCTGGTTAGCAGGCTGGGGCTCAGTAGTCCTGGGTCATCCTCAGAGACAGATGCAGGGGCCCACCAGGGTGGGGCTGGGTCCCGGCTCCCCATGAAGGCCTAGCTGTGGCTGAGCTGTCACCGTGCAAGGCAGGTGCTGTTGTGGATACAGTTCCCTGTGTCACAGCCTGGTCTCAGGGGACTGCACTCTGAGAAAGCTGATGACATGTGTGTGTCGGGGGGAGAATGCAGTGATGGCTGGGTCAGGTTGGAACTATGGGTGGAGAATGCCTGGATGCAGTTATATATATATATATATGTGTGTGTGTGTGTGTGTGTGTGTGTGTATGTATGTATGTATGTATGTATATTATATTTTGGTGGAGGTCCTGCTCTGGGATCACTCCTGGCTTTGGGGTGCCAGGGATCGAACCCAGGCTGGCTGTGTGCAAGGCAAACGCCTTACCCAGCTTGTTCTACCCATCCAGCCATCCCTGTCACTTACTGATGGAGCCCTGGAATGTGTCCCTACTTCCTCGAGGATATTTTCTGGGTTAATTAGCCCAGTGCTCTGGACTCCCCCAAGACAGTGCTGCCTTTGTTTCTTTTTTTTGGCGGGGAGGAGGTCACACCTTGTGCATCGGCAGTTCACAGGGATTACTCCTGGCTAATACACTCAGGAATTAGTCCTGGCAGGACTCCGGGGACCATATAGGATGCTGGGAATCGAACCCAGGTCGGCCGTGTGCAAGGCAAACGCCCTCCCCGCTGTGCTCTCGCTCCAGCCCCCGCTGACTTTGTTTCTGTGTGACAGTGTTTGGCAGAAAGCACGTGTGGAGGAGAGAGGGAAGGCTGGGCTCGAGGCTGGGAGCCCTGGCCATACACACTAGTGGCTGCTAAGGGAATCCCGGCTTCTTTAATTAGTGTGACATGAGGAGAGATGGGACGAGGGAGTCCGTGCTGCTGACCCTGGCAGCTGTAAAGCCTCCGGGTGCATCTTCAGGGGAAGCGCACAGACCGGGAGCTAAGTTTTAGGGGGCACTTCGTACTTCAGGGTATTGCTTCTGTTTATCCCTGTCAACTTGTATCCCGGTTTGTGTTAAAATTGCAAACGCAGCTATCCTGACTCTTGAAAAATTTATTTTTGGGGGGACTGGGAGTGGGACCCACACCTAGCTGTGCTCAGGGCTTATTTATTTATTTTTTATTTTATTTTTTGCTCTTTGGGTCACACCCGGCGATGATCAGGGGTTACTCCTGGCTTTGCACTCAGGAATTTCTCCTGGCGGTGCTCAGGGGGACCATATGGGATGCTGGGAATCGAACCCGGGTCCGTCTCCCCACTGTACTATTGCTCCAGTCCCAAGCACTTCTTTATGGCTCTGTGCTCAGGGGTCATTTTTGGTGGTGCTGGGGAATCGAACCTCAGGTTTTGGAATGGCTTTTTTCTGTTCTTGCTTCCAGATACTTCAGCTAACTGCCACTTGACTGGGGGCTCTTTAGCGCTTACTACTGATGAGGGCCGGGAAGATAGTAGGATAGGTTATAAACTGGCCTTGGATGCCACTGATTCTGAGCATCACCAGGAGTGATCCCTGAGTATGAAGCCACGAGTAAGTCCCTAGTTAGTACCACTGGGGGTTAGACCTTCTCCAGCCCTGTCCAGTTCTGATGGACGCTGATACCCTCTGCTGCCCGGGGCTCAGTATTTCGCTCTCCTTCAGTTCCTGCTCAGGTCTGCTGTCAGTGCTCATTTTATGGCGTGGAAATCCAGCCAGGCAGGGCGACTTCGAGCTAGGCTTTTTTTTTTTTTTTTTTTTTTGGAGGCCCTTGGAGGCCCCAGTCCAGCTGACTCCGATTTCCTCTTCTTGGGCTGAAGCTGAGCACTGCTTGGTTCTGGTTTCGACAGGTCAAGCTGGTAGACTGAATACATTAGTGACTGGGCTGACTTCATCCCCACGGGGATTTATTAACCAAGGGAGCGCTGCGTGCTTATGGGGGTTTCACGTGGACTCTGGGCAAAAGTTGGGGGTCATAGACATGTGAGTCAACTTAGTGCACGAGGGGGCTCTTTAGATGTGCAGGTGACCTGCTTTCTGCCTAGGAGGCTCCTCCGGCGTGGCCCTTTGGGCTGTTGGCCTAGATAGCCACTTGGTCCTTTCTCAGACAGGAAGGGTCGTGCAAGGGGCCCCTTTGCTTGAGTTCCCTGTGGTGTTGGGGATCGAACTTGGGGCCTGTTCGGTGCCAGGCATGAGCTCTGGGCCTTTGCACCATTTTCCCGGCCCCTATGGGGGGAATGACATCTTCTCTGGATTCAGCTGCCGATGTGCATGTGGGCTTTCTTGCATGCTTCTGAGTGGCCTGGCAGGGAAGGGCTTACACGGGGATGTCCACCCCCCTGAGCTGGCCTCAACCCCTGAGCTGGCCTCCCTCTCGCCTTGGCTCTGGCTTCTGATGAGA